CTTGTCCTGCTGGCTCTCCCCCGCGTTCTTAGCCTTGGTATCGATTACGAACCCGATGGCATCCATGACAGCCTCCTTCTTGAAGTACACTTTCGGGTGCACCTGCCGATCGCAGGGCGGCCAGTTTCCTCATCGCCTCACTTTATTTCGCTCCCTCCCCCTCCCACCCCGCCTCCTCCTCACTCCTCCTTCTTCTCCTCCTCCTCCTCCTTCTCCCCCTGAGCCCCCCCCCGAGGAAGAATCTGAGCCCCAAACTCCTCCTCCTCCTCCTCCTCTCCTCCTCCTCCTCCTCCTCCTCCTCCTCCTTCTCTTCCTCCTCCTCCCGCCTCCGCCATCTCCTGCCGCCCCCCTCCCTCCTTTTCCATCCACCGCATGCCTTCGCCAGCGCGCTGAGCAGACTGGAGTGCTGCTTGATCGCCGTCTGCATGGCCGCCGTCGTGGTCTCGAACTTCTGTCCAGGGGTATCTAACTCTCTCTCTCTCTCTCTCTCGCTCTCTCCCCCTGTTCCTGCTGCTGCTGCTCCTCCTCCTCCTCCACCTCCTCCTCCTCCTCATCATCAGCCCTCTCCTCCTGCCCCCCTTCTCCTCCGCCTCCTCCTCGTCCGCCTCCTCCGCATATTCTGTCTCGCCCCTTCCTGTTCCTTTCTCCTGCTCCTCCTGCTCCTCCTCATCCTCCTCCTCATCCTCCTCCTTTTCGTCCTCCTCCTCGTTTTATTTCGGCCCCGTGTCCTTGATGATCGGGGGCTTCAGCGCAAACGGCAGTATCGCCGCTGCGATGGCCTTCGGGTCGCCATTGGCCTCGGACTTCGGCATCTCCAGGGGGATCGCCAACGCCAACTGTCTGCTTTCTAGCCCCCTCCTGTCCAGTACCCCCCCTCTGGCCACCACGCGTGCTGGCAAGAGGGGGGGTACTGGTCACCACGCGTGGTGGCCAGAGAGGGCCGCAAATCTTCCGCAGATGCATCTGCGGAAGATTTGCGGCGGGACGATGACAAGTTGATTTGGCGACCCGCCCTCGTTCCCCCCCGGCCTTGAAGCGCGCCCTGAGCCAAAGGGCACCCTCGGCGGCGAGAGGAGGAGGAGGAGGAGGAGGAGGAGGAGGAGGAGGAGGAGGAGGAGGAGGGGGAGGGGGAGGGGGAGGGGGAGGAGGGAGGAGGAGGAGGAGGAGGGAGGAGGAGGAGGAGGAGGAGGAGTAGGAGTAGGAGTGAGGAGGAGGAGGAGGAGGAGTTGGAGGAGGAGGCCTCCTGAGGCCCTTGAAAGGAATTTACCCAAATATCCAAGAATGTCCAACACGAACAAAACAGAATCCGATGTGAAATGTGGTTGCTTCTGTTATACTTTGCACGCAACAAAAACAACAAACTGTCTGAAACGCCACGCCTCGACCCGCCCAGGGCCTCCGAGGCTCTGGGCGGGTTCCAACAAAAATACAAACAATGATGATCAAAACAAACAAAAACAACATCCAACATGAAACGGGCGTGTTGTTGCTATACGTTGCATACAACTACCGCGGCAATTTGCCCCCGACAGAGAGAAACATAAAAAATAGCGAGAAAGGTAGAAGGAGGGAGGGCGGAGGGGCAGAAATAACAGCTTTGTGATATCCGCCGCCGTGCCTTTCGCAGCTTAATCTGCTAATGTGTTTTCTTGGGCTTGCTAAAGATGTTTGTTTTGTCTGCGAAAGATTTGGGCGGCCTACTTCGCGTTATGCCACTGGGGCGATCGTCGCGGCGGGCATGCGCGATTTGCGTTTTTTTTGTTGGTGGGCGGGTGGGTTGCCGAACGCGTTTCTAACGCAGCTGAATTTGCGCAGGCCGACATCTTACGCATGTGAAATTCGCCATGCTGATTCTTCAGCAGATCAATTGCATCTCCGGAAGACTTACGCAGATGAAAATTCTAACGCAACCTCCGGAAGATTTACGCAGACCGACCCTCAGGGTCTGCTGCTGCACGACATGGAAGGACTGCGGCTGCTGCTGCGTCTGCGCCAGAAACGTCGGCGCCTGCGACGACTCGCCCGACGGAGACGGCACAGATGACGT